TAATTAAAATATTTCTTGTTTTATCTGTTCAATATCATACCTATATATTGTATTAAAAAAAACTATTATAGTAAATAAAAAATTTATTTAAATTAGAATAATAAAGATTTTTTTATTCTAATCTACATGTATAAATGTACAAATAACTATTGTTTATCACCTCAAATTTACACATAAAAGTAATAAGAAAAAAAACTAACAAGCGTTAAACAATTCAGTTCGATTACATCGATAAGTATATTTTTTTTAGAAGGTTTATATTTAGTTATATTAATTATATTATATTTCTTTATTAGTTTGTTTTATATTTATTATTACATGTCACAACTTAGTTATTATTCATATTATTTCTTATATTTAATATTTTTTTAAAACTGTATATTGTTCTTTCACATGTTCTTAACTGTAGATTTGTCAAAAAAGACATAATATAAAGAATAAATTTTTTCGATCATCTGCCTCATTATATATCAAATATTTGTATATCCTTTATTATATTATATTTAATTACATTTTTTATTAATATTTTAATTAAATATTTAAAATTCATAAATTCATTAATAGTATTGTCGAGTCAACTTTTGTTCATAAAATTTTTAAAAATATATTATTTTCATTGATTTGCTTATGTTGAATTGAGAAAAGTTATGTTTTTAATTACATATAGGGAGGATATAAGATTTCTTATATTATTTATGTAGTATTTATTGAGTAATTGTGTTTACAATTTTTCTATTAAAAATATTTTAAAAACGTGAACTTTTTATTTCCTATAATTTTTTTTTTCAAAAATCACTCATTATTTTAATCCCAAGATTACCTATTAATTTACCAATTGAGTTACATTTCTTACATATTAAATATTTCTTGTTTTATCTGTTCAATATTATACTTATATATTATATCAAAAAAACTAATATAGTAAATAAAAAAGTTATTTAAAATTAGAATAATAAAGATTTTTTTTTCTAATCTACATGTATAAATGTACAAATAACTATTGTATATCACCTCAAATTTATACATAAAATTAATAAGAACAAAAAACTAACAAGCGTTTAACAACTCAGTTCGATTACATCGATAAGTATATTTTTAGAAGGTTTATATTTAGTTATATTAATTAAAATATTTCTTGTTTTATCTGTTCAATATGATACTTATATATTATATTAAGAAAACTAATATAGTAAATAAAAAAGTTATTTAAAATTAGAATAATAAAGATTTTTTTTTCTAATGTACATGTATAAATATACAAATAACTATTGTATATCACCTCAAGTTTACACATAAAATTAATAAGAACAAAAAACTAACAAGCGTTTAACAACTCAGTTCGATTACATCGATAAGTATATTTTTAGAAGGTTTATATTTATTTATATTAATTATATTATTTCTGTTTATTAGTTTGTTTTATATTTATTAGTACGTGTCACAACTTAGTTATTATTCATATTATTTCTTATATTTAATATTTTTTGTAAAATTTTATCTTGTTCTTTCACATGTTCTTAACTGTAGATTTGTCAAAAAAGACATAATATAAAGTATAGAATTTTTTCGATCATCTACCTCATTATATATCAAATATTTGTATATCCTATATTATATTATCTTTAATTACAATTTTTTAATTAAATAGTAACAATTCATAAATTCATTAATAAGAACAAAAAAACTAACAAGCGTTTAACAACTCAGTTCGATTAAATCGATAAGTATATTTTTAGAAGGTTTATATTTAGTTATATTAATTATATTATTTTAGTTTATTAGTTTGTTTTATATTTATTAGTACGTGTCACAACTTAGTTATTATTCATATTATTTCTTATATTTAATATTTTTTTAAATTTGTCTTGTTCTTTCACATGTTCTTAACTGTAGGTTTGTCAAAAAAGACATAATATAAAGTATAGAATTTTTTCGATCATCTGCCTCATTATATATTAAATATTTGTATATCCTATATTATATTATATTTAGTTACAATTTTTAATTAATATTTTAATTAAATATTTACAATTCATAAATTCATTATTAATATTGTCGCGTCAACTTTTGTTCATAAAATTTTCAAAAGTATATTATTTTCATTGATTTGCTTATGTTGAATTGAGAAAAGTTATGTTTTTTAATTACATATTGGGAGGATATAAGATTTCTTATATTTTTTATGTAGTATTTATTGAGTAATTGTGTTTACAATTTTTCTTTTAAAAATATATTAAACACGTGAACTTTTTAGTTCCTATAATTTTTTTTTTCATAAATCACTCATTATTTCACAATATTACCTATTAATTTATCAATTGAGTTACAATTTTTACATATTAAATATTATATAATTAAAATATATCTTGTTTTATCTGTTCAATATAATATTTATATATTGTATTAAGAAAACTAATATAGTAAATAAAAAATTAATTTAAAATTAGAATAATACAGATTTTTTTTTTTCTAATCTATATGTACAAATGTACAAATAACTATTGTCTATCACATCAAATTTACACATAAAATTAATAAGAACAAAAAACTAACAAGCGTTTAATAACTCAGTTCGATTACATCGATAAGTATATTTTTAGAAGGTTTATATTTAGTTATATTAATTATATTATTTTTGTTTATTAGTTTGTTTTATATTTATTAGTACGTGTCACAACTTAGTTATTTTTCATATTATTTCTTATATTTAATATTTTTTTAGAACTTTATCTTGTTCTTTCACATGTTCTTAACTGTAGATTTGTTCAAAAAAACACATAATATAAAGTATAGAATTTTTTCGATCATCTGCCTCATTATATATCAAATATTTGTATATCCTATATTATATTATATTTAATTACAATTTTTTTATTAATAATTTAATTAAATATTTACAATTCATAAATTCATTAATAATATTGTCGAGTCAACTTTTGTTCATAAAATTTTTAAAATTATATTATTTTCATTGATTTGTTTATGTTGAATTGAAAAAAGTTATGTTTTTTTAATTATATATAGGGAAGATATAATATTTCATATATTTTTTATGTAGTATTTATTGAGTAATTGTGTTTACAATTTTTCTATTAAAAATATATTAACAAGTGAAATTTTTAGTTCCTATAATTTTTTTTGCAGAAATCACTCATTATTTTATCCCAAGATTTTCGATCATCTGCCTCATTATATATCAAATATTTGTATATCCTATATTATATTATATTTAATTACAATTTTTTTATTCATAATTTAATTAAATATTTACAATTCATAAATTCATTAATAATATTGTCGAGTCAACTTTTGTTCATAAAATTTTTAAAATTATATTATTTTCATTGATTTGCTTATGTTGAATTGAAAAAAGTTATGTTTTTTAATTATATATAGGGAGGATATAATATTTCATATATTTTTTATGTAGTATTTATTGAGTAATTGTGTTTACAATTTTTCTATTAAAAATATATTAACAAGTGAAATTTTTAGTTCCTATAATTTTTTTTTTTCAGAAATCACTCATTATTTTATCCCAAGATTACCTATTAATTTACCAATTGAGTTACATTTCTTACATATTAAATATTATATAATTAAAATATTTCTTGTTTTATCTGTTCAATATTATATTTATATATTATATTAAAAAAACTAATATAGTAAATAACAAAGTTATTTAAAATTAGAATAATAAAGATTTTTTTCTAATCTACATGTATAAATGTACAAATAACTATTGTCTATAACCTCAAATTTACACATAAAATTAATAAGAACAAAAAACTAATAAGCGTTTAACAACTCAGTTCGATTACATCGATAAATATATTTTCAGAAGATTTATATTTAGTTATATTAATTATATTATTTCTGTTTATTGGTTTGTTTTATATTTATTAGTACGTGTCACAACTTAGTTATTATTCATATTATTTCTATATTTAATATTTTTAAATCTTTATCTTGTTCTTTCACATGTTCTTAACTGTAGATTTGTCAAAAAAGACATAATATAAAGTATATTTTTTCGATTATCTGCCTCATTATATATCAAATATTTGTATATTCTATATTATATTATATATAATTACAATTTTTTAATTAATATTTTAATTAAATATTTACAAGTCATAAATTCATTAATAATATTGTCGAGTCAACTTTTGTTCATAAAATTTTTAAAAATATATTATTTTCATTGACTTGTTTATGTTGAATTGAGAAAAGTTATGTTTTTTTTTTTTAATTATATATATGGAAGATATAAGATATGATGGCATTAGTATATTACCAATTTGCCATTAAAAACATGTGAAAGTAATGTGTATTAGTGTGTTACTAATTTGTCATTAAATTTATGTCAAAGTAAGGGTTTTTTAGGCATTATGAATTTTTACAAAAACACTCCTCCTTTTAAAGTAGTATAGATAGATATAGATTATTATCATGAATTTTAGTAAAAATATTATAGTTCAGTATTTTCTTATGCATTTTTTTTTTTTTTAATTCCTGAATGGTGCCATAATGCGATCTTATTGAAATGATATTTTAATATACTCTATGTTCTGGTCTATCTGCAGCTAGTGAAGTTGCTGGAGTCGAAGGAAACAAATCATGTCGAGTTTTGCAAAATAAAAAGTGTTCTCGACGATATATTACAAATGTATTCAAATTCAGAGCAACATAAAATTCTCAAATTACTGATGGATCCTACTTGGGTGGCTACTGGACTGAAAGTCGAGCTGGAGACATTAGTGAGTAATTGGTTTCTGATTAAGTAATACTTTTCGGTTATGCTCATTTTGGATGGTGAAGGTTTGAGGGGGAAAGTACCGATCTAATGTTCCTTTTTACATCTCAGGCGAGAGAATGTAAATACGTTTCACATAGAATTGGTGAAATCATTTCCTTGGATGGTGAACGTGATCAAAGGATAACAACACACACCATTATCCCGAACGAGTTTTTTGATGACATGGAATCTTCATGGAAAGGTCGTGTGAAGAGAATTCACTTAGAAGAAGAATTCGCAGAAGTGGATGAAACTGCTAAGGCCTTAGCTGTAGCGGTAAGTCTGGCTGAGCTTTTTGAGGCAACTGATACGAAAGTTAACCGGAGATTTTCTGCAATTATGCTTAACCAGATGGCCGTTTTTGGTAATTGTTCCTTCAGCTATGTGAAGGGGCAGCTGTTACCGAACTATATTTATTAGGGATAATTGGAAAAATACCTCTGAGGTTTTGATTTTCTTTCTTTTTATTATTTAAAGAAAAATCAAAGAATATCCCTTGAAACCATAAACTTGAGGGATAACTGTATTTCTCACATATAAAGGGGGCTCAATTTTAATAGCTAGAGAGAATAGAAGGAAGAGTCAAGCCTCATTATATCGAAAATATTAAGCTAAACTGGATAGAAAATTGAGGGAAACATCGATTGGTTACAAATCATAGAAGCGTTAGCACTTGCTTCAACATAATGGTTGTTAATTCATTTAGCATATAACTCATTTTTTTTTTTCTTTAGATTGAAGAAGATTTTCTCCCTATTGTTCGGAGAATTAAAGCAATGACATCACCCCTTGGAGGGCCAAAGGGGGAGATATTATACACCCGTGAGCACGAAGCTGTTTGGTTCAAGGGAAAACGTTTTGCACCGTCTGTTTGGGCCGGTACACCTGGAGAAGAACAAATTAAACAGCTTAGACCTGCCTTTGATTCTAAAGGAAAAAAGGTCGGTGAAGAATGGTTTACCACACTTAAGGTGGAGGATGCCCTAGCCAGGTGATATTTGGGTGTTTATGTAAATTGAGAATTTTCTCATTTCCGTTTAATTTATTTTTATTTTTATTTTTATTAAGGTCATAGATTTCTTTATAGGGATAATTAGAAATAGCACCCTGGAAGTTTGGTGCATTGACGAAAATCTCCAATTTACTAATTTTTATTTTAATTTTAACAGTCTAGAAGTCGGTGTATTTTACTGTTTATCGATGTAATTGTACTGTATACCAGCATCACTGTTGATGTGTGCTTCAGGTATCACGAGGCTGGTGACAAAGCAAAAGCAAAAGTCCTGGAACTATTACGCAATTTATCTGCTGAGCTGCAAGCAAAGATCAATATCCTAGTGTTTTCATCCACGTTGCTTGTAATTGCCAAGGCTTTATTTGGTCATGTGAGGTAAGTCCAGAATACAGAGAGTTCTTGATACACTTAGTAATTTCTACTTTCCCTATTCCTTTTAGTATGTCTACATTCCTGATTTGATACTTTCTAATCTCTTACTTAAACTCTCATTATGTTTCCGATTAATTATCCGAACTATGTATCCTTCATTACTGCCCTCAACTTAAATGTCGTCTATTTAATCCAGTGAAGGTAGAAGAAGGAAATGGGTGTTCCCCACTCTCACTCAATGCCACAGTTCTGAGGTAAGTCAGTTTACCAGTCCTTTTTTGTTCTGTTAATTAAAAATAAAAAAATTTTGATAATCCTGTCGAGAATAATGATTTCGTCAAAAAATAAAATTATGGAATTTGTGCAGGATAAAGGAACCCTATATAAAGCTGAGGGGATGAAGATAACTGGCTTATCTCCATACTGGTTTGATTCAGCTCAAGGTGGTGCCGTAAAAAACGACGTTGATATGAAATCACTATTTCTGTTAACGGGACCAAACGGAGGTGGGAAATCGAGCCTGCTGAGGTCAATTTGTGCGGCTGCATTATTAGGAATATGTGGATTCATGGTCCCAGCTGAGGCAGCTATTATCCCTCATTTTGACTCCATTATGCTCCACATGAAATCTTATGATAGTCCTGCTGATGGAAAGAGCTCCTTTCAGGTGATTATCTGTTGGTCAGTTTTTCACTTTCTTTTTCCTATGAACAAGATTCCTTTTGTGTTTGCAATTATACTTAGCAAAAGATAGTTGTGTATCCATGTAAAGCACACCCTGTTAAATTAAACCACTTGCCAGTTTCTTCCAAGACTGAATTGCCTTTACAAGCTCGTTTGTCGACACTTGGACCCAGCCGTTGAAAGAAAAATAACATCCAAATATTTTATAGATCCCAAGACTTTCGTTCGACTATTTGTAGTACCTTCGGGATTTACGTAAAGTATCAAAAGTCATGGTCATATGGAAATGTGTGACAACTTATAATAAAGGGTAAAATACTTTTTCCCATCCGAACTATCACAGTTTTGGCGCATCACCATGTAAACTATTTTTTTTTACAAACCACCATATGAACTATACGGGTTTGTCAATGTGCCACCTAAACCGGATATAAAAGTGGTTTAGGGGGCACATTGACAAACCCGTGATAGTTCATATGGTGGTTTGTAAAAGTATTTAGGGGGCACATATGGTGACCAAACAACTTTTTCAGTCAAAACCACTTTTATATCTGGTTTAGGGAGCACATTGACAAACCCGTATACTTCATATGGTGGTTTGTAACAAAAAATAGTTTATATGGTGATGCGCCAGAACCGTGATAGTTCGGATGGGAAAAAGTATTTTACCCTATAATAAATCCCATTAGCTCCACCAAACGGCATTAGCAAATGCAAAGAACCGGTGCAATCTTGAGCAATTTAGTTAGCTGTTTTTATTTCCCCTTCTCAATATTGTCAAATCTTGATGCTCCATTCTGGAACTATAGCGTACAAACAAGGGTGATTTTTTTTTTTCCCCCCCACATTCGCATTAATTACCCCAGGTGGAGATGTCAGAAATTCGTTCCATTATCACTCGAGCCACCTCGGAAAGCCTTGTCCTCATCGACGAAATTTGCCGAGGTACGGAGACAGCCAAAGGCACGTGCATAGCTGGCAGCATAATTGAGAAACTCGATTCAATCAACTGTCTTGGCATAGTTTCCACTCACCTCCACGGAATATTCGATCTCCCATTGAAAACCAAAAATGCTGTCTTTAAAGCCATGGGAGCCCGACTCGTCAACAATCAAACAGTGCCTACGTGGAAATTAATGGATGGCATTTGCCGAGAGAGCCTCGCGTTCGAGACAGCTCAGAGGGAAGGTGTCCCGGAAGATTTGATTCAGCGGGCCCACGATCTGTACATTTCGGTTTATGGGGAAAAGAGTCCGTTAAAGTTGAGGCATATTGGTTATGAAGTCAAAGTTGGAGAGAAAAGTGGGCCCATCGAAAAGGGTCGTGCTGACAGGTTCGAGATTTTGCGTGAGCGGGTGGAGGCTGCTGTGGTCAGTGTATGTGGGGAGAAATTGGGTGATCTCAGATGTGTTTTGATTGGTGCTAAAGAGCAGCCGCCTCCATCTACTATTGCTGCATCGAGTGTTTATGTGATGATTAGGCCTGACAAGAAAATTTATGTAGGCGAGGTATGTGTTTTACATTTTTTGTTGGTTGCATTTTTTACAAGATCTTTGCAAATTATCCCAAGTTTTTATTTTTCTTTTCGATATTTCTTTTCCAAGGCTAATTTACCGCGGAAGAAAAATGAAAAGGATAAAACTTTTTCAACCTTGTAAATTTGTATCAAAATTCTAGATATTGAGGGCTGTACTTATCAAAATGTGTTTGAAAAACAAGAAAATCCTGTTTGATCTGTTGGTTTACAGATAACTATCAGTAATTTCAAAATCACCGTTCTTAGAAAAAGAATCAAAGAGAAACATAGAGGGAAATCAATCCATTACATCTGCAGGAAGCTCCTTAAGATGTGTCTGTAATGAAATATCATTTTGTTTATTTTTGTTTTCCACTCTCAACATTGTCAAGTGATGTTAACATTGAATTTTGGAGTTCCAGACGGATGACCTTCAGGGCCGAGTCCGTGCTCACCGCCTGGAAGAGGGAATGCAAAATGCATCATTTATATATTTCTTGGTGCCGGGTAAGAGCATGGCTTGCCAACTCGAGACACTTCTCATCAACCAGCTCCCGAGCCGAGGCTTTCGGTTGACTAATGTAGCCGATGGGAAGCACAGGAATTTTGGCACGTCTGATTACTTGGAATTGGAGATGTTGGTCAGATGAAGAAAATCAACAAGTATATGTAACAGTTAGTGAACCTTGTACATGACGGTTCAAGTTTTAGTTTGTTTTGTTTTGGTGGTTAGCGGCAATTTTGAATCCATGTTAAGCTGCTTACTTATGCTGGCCTTCTTTTGTGAATGTGACTAGTGGTTCTAACTTCTAAGGTAATGTTGGACATCTTTAAAAATTATTTGCCTAGGGACAATTTGTCTTGTCTTCTGTTTTTCCATATGTGTTTGCTTATTGTTCTTGGTAAGATATATTCCATCCATATGTGTTTGCTTATTGTTCTTGGTAAGATATATTTCCCATACTATTCTGCATAAAAAAATAGTCTCCTTACGAAATGTAGAAAAATCGTTAGGCATCTCATAAATTCGGAAAGTGTAGGGTGTTTGACTAAGGCTTTTGTTCTTAAACTCAAATAAATGAGTATCGGACGAAAGACGATCGATCGTATTTTTATTTGATATGCGGAGAATATTACAACATATAGATTTTTGGTTCATAAATCGAAAAATCTTGAGGTATCTGTCAGTACCACAACTGAGTCGAGAAATGTTATAATCTTTGAGAATATTTTTCCTTTGAAGGAAAAGACAAGATCTAGTTCTAACAAAAGGATGCATGAAATTGCTAGCAGTTCTGTAAAAGATGGTACTGAAGAATTGTGATGTGGTAAAAGGGTATAAGCGACGATAAAGTTTGGACCTGATTTTGTTAGTTCATGTTGCACGATGAATCGAGTTCCATTAAGGAAGATTTGTCCAGTCCAGATGAACCACTTTGGGAAGATGTGTATAGCAAAATCGAATCTATTATACAAAATCGTACTTGGAAGTTGGTTGATCTCCCTGCAGGTTGCAAATCTTTAGGATGCAAGTGGATCTTAAAAACAAAATATCGAGTGATCGATAAGTTTAAAGCACGATTGGTGGTCAAAGGCTTTAAACAAAAAGAAGGGTGTGACTTCTTTGATAGTTATTCACCAGTTACGCATATAGCGTCTCGATCGCCGCTTTGCACAATCTTGAGATTCACCAAATGGATGTCAAGACGACATTCTTGAATGGTGAACTAAAGGAAGAGATTTACATGGAACAACCCGAAGATTTTGTAGCACCTGGACAAGAGAAAACGGTGTGCAAATTGATCGAATCCTTGTACAGGCTGAAACAAGCTAGGAAATAATTACATTTGAAATTTGATGATGTGATGTTATCAAATGGTTTCACTGTCAATATCTGCAACAACCTGTAAGGTATCCTAATGTATATAGATTCCTCAAAGACAACAACATCTCTACTGATAATCAACTGCTTAGCCTCAACATCAAACAACTAATATCCTTTCTTTCCAGCCGCATATCCTAGAAAAACACATTTATTATCTCTTGGATCAAATTTGGGAATATTGGCTGCATAGGATAGACAACCAAATGGCTTAGTTCTCCCATAACTTAGCGCCTCTCTATGCAATCTTTCATAAGGTGTCTTCCAATCTAGCTGTTGGGATCTATAAGAATCGTTGCTAATGTGCAAGTTACAAATTTATCTACAAAATTACATATACGGAGCGGATCTATAGATAAAGGTAGAAGATTTATGGTTTAATATTTTGCCGACTCTGAGACGTTGTAGATTTCCTTTGTAGAATATCGTCTGATTTACAAAGTCCGTTGGGCAGCCGAACGTGGTCTTCACGGGGTGTTGCGAGTCGTGTCCGTGCGAACGGGAGCAGACGAGTCGCGATCGGTTGCCGGGAAGCTGGTTGGGGGTTGGCGTCGTGTCACTGGGTGTCGAGCGGATTGTCGTGGGTCTTCTCGGCATCACGGGGCTGCAACAGGTTGTCACCGGGCACAAGACGATCGCGGGTCGCATCGCCAGGAACTGGATGTCGCGGGTCTCGGCGTTGCAAGAAGGTAACAACTCGTCACCAGTCGCAGCAAGGGAGCAGGTCATGTCGGGTGGTCACCGGGAAACGAGTCATCTCGCGGTGGTGCTGGGCCGTCGACGGTGGTCGGCTCTCGACTACCCCCAAGGTCTTCTATTGAATTAACTAACACCTTTAGAACTTCTTTGGTGAGAAGAAGAATTATGATATATGTCTTGGAAAACTGTAGAAGAGGTGCATACTTCAGTAGAGACCCTAAAGAGGCTGTTAAATTAGGCTTCCCTATTTGGGCCTAACTATGGGCCAAGACTACCAAGGCCAAATAGGAATAATAAAATTATTCCACTAAAGTAGTATTATTGAATTCTCTCTATTTAATTCTGAATAATTACGATTTGAGCTCCACTCCTGTAATACTCGAATTACCTCTCATGTTTAAGATATAATGTCCGTCAATTTATTTAATTACTTAATTAAATTAAGTTTACTTTTTGAATCAAAGCTAGCACCGTTCAATACCTTATTATTATGTCGGAATTTGATCCACCTGCATGGTTTAACATAATAATCATTTTGAACTCACTTCGGGGACATCATCAAACATCAACTTTGTGAAGTACACGATGGCCCTAAACATTGTAGATGACCGTAAACATTATAACAGAACACCATGTCATGCATGAATCACTACCCAATCCAGACAGTTACTGGTCCATATCAATAAAGCTCACCTTGTTGAATCACAATAGTAATTACTACATACATGTGTTTGTTTATATCTTACAGGTTAAGAGAATGCAGTAACTAACCGAGGCCTAGTTTGTTTATGCCGATCAGTAAAACAAATTGCTCCTCTCTCTGATCCAGTCAATACACCAGTGTGTACTAGTGTGACTAATCAGTCAAGACCAACTGTTCCTCTCAACTACAACTGTTCCAATGACTTGTTCAATTTCCATCTAAGTTTTGAACCAATTATTTATGTTTCACAAGTAACCGATAAATTATCTTCTATCCATCTGTGATGAACCATTTATCTAAATGCAAAGCAACATAACATAGAACTTTATTTAATCAAACCTGAATTCTCATTCAATAAATAATGTGAATAACATAAAGCTAAGTTTTCAGCATACACACTAACACTAACAATTGAGTGGGAACTCTATTGATAATGTAGGCACCTGCAAGGACTTAAAGGGCCAAAATCTCAAAGGTATATTGGTTTGAAACAAAAGTGTCCTCAATTGTGCTTCCTCTCCACCACCCCATTTTGTTGTGAAGAGTAAGCACAACTTGTTTCATGTAATATTTCTTTTGAGTCTAGAAAATGTTGCAGCTCTTTATCCGCAATCTCCTTCCCATTATATTTTCTCATCTTCCTGGCGTTCCTTTTGAATTGTGTCTTAGCCATAGAAATAAAGTTTATCACCAGCTTTCCTACTTGTGACTTATGGTCCATTAGGAAAACTCATAGTAATAAATAAAAAAAATAAAAATAAAGTGTGAGTTAGTGAATCCTCTCTAAAAGGCCCCTATAAATTTACATGAATCAATTCAAAGCAGCATTGGGTTTTTATGTTGCTTCATGGAAAGAATAGTCAGTGATGTTTGGAGTTGAAACAAATATCACAAGAATGCAGCAGCCTTTCACTCTTTTTACTACACTCCTTCAAAAATCAATGTGATTCAATGCTGAAAAAGAAGCATGCTCAAGACACCTACGCCACACCTCAAGTGACAAATTACAAGTCACTACATCCTTACCCTTTCACATCCTTTTATCAAAATAATATAAACTCCCTGATTTTTTGTCATATCCATGTATTTTCCCAATTCTCTCATCCTTTGAAAAACAACAAGATTCTTCTCAGGTCACTATTGTTACAAAGTTGCATCACTGACAACAAATTATATTTAAAAGTTGGCACAAGCAAAACCTTTTATAACGCTACATTCTCATCAAGACTCACCTCTCCTTTATATGAAATTGTTTTGAGTGTGCCATTAGGTAGGCACACTACTAGTGGGGTTTTGAGTGCTTCAACATTCTTCATTTTATTTCTATCCTTGAAAATATGTTTACTAGCTCCAGTATCAATTCCAATCTTCATGTTGCTTTAAATTCAAAGCAGATAGAGCATAATGCACATTATCTTCATTTTCTTTATCAACAACACCAATAAATCGTGCATAGTCAACCTTTCCCTCTGATTCCTCCTTATCTTTAATATATTTAGTTAACTCATTCAGCGGCAATATCACAAAATTCAAATTATATCCTCTTTCTTCATCTCTGACCTCTCATCCCTGTCTGAATTTTTCCTCATAACCATGTACTGCAGTTGTGTTGGCAAAAATTTTCCCTTGTTGCTTGTACCAGTCTGGTACCCCACGTGTCTTGAAGCATGTGGCCACTATATGTCCATTCATACCACATTTATCACAAACTAGGTTGACCTTCTCTTCTTTGCTAAGTCTATGAAATTCCCCTCTTCCTCTTCCTCCCTCCAGATTGCCAACCACCTTTTCCTCCATTTCTTAACATTTCTTGCCCATATAAACCTCTGCCATGTCCATCTGTTTTTACTGCCATTGCCACATTATCTATTCTTCCTTTATATTCATTTTGAATGGCCATTTGCCTCTTAGCTGTAAGTATTATAGAATAGGCCTTACTGACTAATGGCAAATGACTGATTAACATTATCTAATTCTTTATGTTATCATACACATCACTGAGCCCCATTAAAAAATGTGTCAATTTTGCGCCAGCTTCATGTTGAGCATTCAACTTCCCTTTTCACAGCTACAAACTTGCATTTAGACAATACATGCATACTCATTCAACAACTTCTTCAACTTATTAAAGTATTCTGTAAATTTATTATTGCTCTAACTTAGATTTGAGATTTCTCTATGGATCCTATACCCCATTGGACTATTTTTTTCCCCCAAACGTTGGCAAACATCTTATCACAACTCTTTAGTTGTATCCGCATATATTACTGATTCAACTATATCCTTTGACAGGGAGTTAAAAATCCATGATAACACCATCTAGTCAACCATTTTCCATGTTGCATAACTGTCACTTTCCTCATCCGATTTAATGAATTCACCATTTATAAAGAAAGTTTTGTTTTCGCATCTAGTGCAATAATCCTCGAGCACTTCCATGACAGAAAATTGTTGCCAGATAATGGACGTGTGAATGGAACCAGACCAGGATGGTTAGATCCGTGAAGGTTGAATGGATCTAGGTAAACTTAGATCTGATTAAAATACTCAAACTCGTACACTTTAAATCTAACTTCCTTGCTACTGATCGAGCTAGGATCTAGGTCACAAGGATTGCCCTCTCTGATGCTATGTTGAATTCAAAGAACAAAGAAAAGAAAATATGTGGAACCATATTTTCATTTTTGCATACTGAACAAGACGAAGATATTTAAATTCCAATCTCATGCAAGCTACTCCAACACGACGTCGCATCACCTCTAACCCTTACTAACGAAGTGGCGTCGTCTACACTAATAAAAACGTAAAGCTAGAAATAAGCGCAAAAACACTTTACAAAGGCTCTTGCGACTTTCAACAGAAATAACATAAATATAAAGCCTGCATCTATTTCCTTCTTCGCTCATGCACATTAGTGACCTCTTCAACCTTCAACTCCTTCCCTGATCACTCATCTATTCCAACCGGAAGAGTGTTGAAAAGATGGAACTTTGGTATAACTTGGATTGGTCGAACGAAATTTTTGTTTTTTGCTAGTGCTATGTTAAGTTATTTATTTATATTATTTTTATCTTTGATAAATATTGTGGAAGTAAAGTGATGGGTGTATATAATGTGGTCGTTTACTGCTTTTGTTTTTAACATCTCTTAACCATGCAAATCAAATGTGAACACTGTTCGCTTTGAGTTTTATTATAGTTAACTCTGTCGTTTTGGGAAAAAAAAAAAATTGTAGTTTGCAGTAGAGTTTAAGGAATGCAAATTTGCAAGCAAAGGCAAACATAAGGACAACCGCACAACAAGAGGTAGACCTATACTCAAATTAAACCTTCTTTGAAAAGATTTCCACTTTATTGTTGTGATGTTTTTTAAGTAACTTCGATTTCTTCCACAACAAGAGGTAAGACTTATACATTTTCTCCCACGTCTAACTAAAGTTGCAGAAGAAAGTGATTGGTGCTGTGAAGTAGGTATGGGTGGTCAAGAAGAGATTGTGGTGCCTCTAGTTGTTAGGGTTGATATGAATATAGTTCCGGGTCATCTCGATGTGGCCTCGGAGTTGAATGGTTCTATTTGAACAACCTATGCACGACGAACTTTGAACATCTGAGTTTATTTCTGCATTTGTAGTCATGTGGAGTTTTTATAAGGGCTATAATAGTTGCTAATATTCACTCCATGTTGGTGCCTGTTGTATAAATACAGTGTCTCCAACTGAGGGTACTTACCAAGCAAATGCAAAATCTGAAGAGAGTATGTGTTTTCACTCTATTTATTCCTAAAGAAAATCAAGGTCAAGGGACTTGGCTTTTTTTTTTCTCTGTCTTTCATAGATGACAAAAAACATGTAAAATCGACTTCTTTTTTACACGTGTAACATCTACAACATGAACGATCAATCTAATATATCTTTCTCGACCCTCTTCTGTTCCAAAATGTGATTCTGTGATATTTTTAAATCGGAACAGAAGTGATTTTACGAATAAAATGAAGATGGCAAAGAGTATAAATAAAACATCTATGCGAAAGGGCGAACGATTACTAGTTGAGATAAATCCGTGCATTGTTATTTTATGCTAAGAGCCAGAAGTTTTTATAGGTTTTGCTGCTGAGTAGATAGCCTGCATTTTGACCCTTTCTCTGGACTGCAACACAGGTACATTTGCTGTTCAATATAAGGTTGTCTGCTGTGTCTAATCCTCTTGATCCCCCTCTTTTAGACCTGCACAATCAATAACAACAATAATAATAATAACCAAGATTTGACAATCACTATCCATTTCTTCATTTGATTTCTTTCTTACTACGTTTCAAGGTAACAGCGGAATTCGGTTGCGAAAAATGGCAGAGTAGACTAATTATTTAGTTCAATTGAACAACATTTGATCACGAAATTAGCGTTTTAAAAGAAACTAGGCGACCAGAAACAAGACAGATTCTACATAGGCAAGCATTTGATCCGCAAAGAAAAAAATAAAAAATAAAATACAAGTGAGGCCAGGCCATATAACCCTCAAAGATGATCTTTCCCTTTCCAAGGTACAAGGCAAAGCAATAGCATATAACAAGAATTGCACGAATGTATAAATCTAACAATTTAATTAATATCTAGATTATATGTCACACAAAATTATTCCATAAAAACCAGTGTGTAGGAAGACAAACCTGGATAATTTTGGCTTCTGTAATAATGATAATTAATTTTCACACAGCACAAATCTTTACAAAAATTGGTGATAACGAAAAGATGTGGAAGGAATAAAGAGCTAGAAGAAAACTCACCCTAAAATTGCATTAGAAAGACTCCTCCTATGGCCAACAATAAGGAGATCAACCTTGTGGGCGAGTGTGTGCGCAAGAATCACGGCAGCCTTATCCTTGCCCTCGCCCATCTCTGCCTTAACCGCCGCCACCTTGACCCTTGGCTGTGCTGCCACGCATAGCTTGCGCATCCCCTCAAGAAAATCCACCTCCTCCCCTGCTGAGCCGGGGCTATTATTATTGTTGTTATTATTTCTCTTAAAAAACGAGCCAAATGGGTTCTTCCATGCATTAGGGTTCTCGACGTGGAACAAAATCAAGGTGTCCTTGTCAACAATTGCATGAGAAAGCGCGTACTCAAGGGCAGCCCCCGACTCACGGGTCGGGTCCGCTACCACCATCACCCTTCTCGCCGATAACCCACCGTCTTCCATCATCTCTCTCTCTCTCTCTCTCTCTCTCTCTCTCTCTCTCTCTCTCTCTCTCTCTCTCTCTCTCTACATACGGACGATGATTGTCATGGGAGGACGATCGAGTAAAGTTGATGGCAGCATTGTAGGGTATTTGGAAAATGTTTTAATGGATGGATGGATGTATGGGGAGATCTGATTTTGAGCTTTTCAGAGCCTTTTGAGGATGTTTGGGTTTGTCTTCTTCATTTTTCTTTCTTTTTTTTTTGGTATTTCTGAGTTGGAAATTCAATCTTTTTTTCCTAAATTTAGGAGATTTGGATGGTGTTTTGGTGGCTGAGTGTCAATGATCAAGGCCAGCCATTCAAACTCTCACTCCCTTGGTGTTTAAATCTTATTTGAAATTAAAATGGCACGATGGCAGTTTTTATTCTTTTTTTCAGTGCCACCCATTGCTTATTTTCAAGATTTTGCCCAAACAAAAACATAAGAGAGAGTAAAAATAGAACTCCATAAGAAATTTAAATGCTAAAGAATAAAGGTGTCCCCCAGAAAGGCATCATACACAAACAAAATTGAGTGAAAATATATATGACAAAATGTTTCTGGATAGCTAAAAAGAATATGGTATATTCCCAATTATATAATCTTCACCAAAAATAGCAAGATAAATCAATAATTTCAATTCTCTTCACTGCTGTTGAAGAACACGTTTACAGTGCAAAATGAACGTATTCAACATAATCCCAAGAAACTACGGTTCCTAGAAAATTGGATGAGAATGTGCACCTATTGATCAAGCTTTTGAATTCAATTTCTCGAGAAGTATCTTGTTCAAAAGCCCGGGATTTGCCTTGCCTTTTGTTTCTTTCATTACCTGGAATCAGACATAAAAATCGTTAGAAACCCCCGTAGAAAATATGGAAAAAATAAACTTCAAGCCTATGTTCAGAAACTCACCTGACCAGCAAAAAAGCCTTGTAGTTTAGTTTTACCACCTCGGTACTGTTCTACCTGCTTTGGATTGCCCGCAAGGACTCTATCCACTATTTTCTCGATCTCAGCCGGGTCCAGAATCTTAAGAGTAAGAAAAACGATCTAGTTAAATTTAGTAATTCACACGAGTTCAATTAAGTTTTTTAAGTCCAATTCATGAATACGTTAAAAAAACACTCCAACAGCATCACAGCAAAACTTGCCTGAACCAAATCCTTTTCTTTGATAAGTCCTTTAACAGTTCCACCCTTCACCATTAACTCAAGCAGTATCTGCACATATCACACAGAAAAGGGGGTAAATACACAAAACCGCATCTTCATACGTTGATCATTGCTTCTATATCATATCAAGAGCTGAGGAAAGCCAATGAATAAGAAAACGAAATGAATAAACCTATACTATATATATATCCTTTCTACTATAACAGGAAGGATATCTTTAGTTTAGTATAAAAAAACTACACGGACTAAAAAACTTTAAATTTGGTATTATCTTTAGCAATATAATTGTAATTATTATTAAAAATCCTATCTAATGGAATTGTTATTCTAATACTTACAACTTAATTCTTAAGTTCCTTCCACCTTGCTTAAAAAAAAACCAATTTTAATGGTGTAATTTACGAAAGGTAAGGACCCTAACCATATTATTAATAATATATTACATAAATATAAGCAAATGGGAAAAAAAGTACACCAGATGAAATTATACTAGATGTAATGTTTAAGAATACAATGAAATTTTGTATTGTTATATTTTCTTAAAAAAGTAATGACTAAAAGATTTTTGTGTTTGGTATATTTTAATCACAAAAATAAGCAACTAATGTGAAAGGATTCTTAAAAGAATATTCATAACATGAAAAATGAAATTTTTGCTTCAAAAATTGTCAATACACGTGTTTCATGATTTCCTTATTATATCTAAACAGTGAGATTGAAAATGTATTTTTTTTTTTCAAAACCAACAAATAAAAATCTGTTTAAAACATAAAAAAGTAACCACCATTCATCAATATATTTGAGTGCAGATTTTTCAATAGTTAATTATGATATCATGTAGGAGTAGGACAACAAATAAATTAACATAATTTATCAAATACTATAAATGAATATATAGTACAATACCAAAAGAAAAAAAAAATGCAATTTTCTAGAACAGATATGGTCAGAAATAAAGCATCAAAATATAATAACATGGCCTTTTAAATTTAATGTTTTAGTAATGATCTAAGTTATTATATATACCTAAAATATTTGTACACAATCAATCGGTTTTGCTATGAAGCCATCGGATGGCTCGGCTTACGGAGTCATCCACAAATGGTGTATTGACACGTGTCCTACAATAAATACACATTGGACACGTGTCAATACATAAAGTTATGGATGACTCCACAAGGGAGCCATCCGATGGCTCCATAGAATGTTTGCACAATCAAACAAACTTACGTAGGGCAACCGCAAGTTTGTTTGGGATCTCAAGAATATTCTGCCCAAATGGCAAAATTTGAAAGGTCAATTATTTAAGAAGAAAATATTCGGATATGTGGTCCCACAAAACTAATTTAAAAAAAAAAAAAGGAAAAAAGATTGCCACATGCTCATCTATATTTTTATAACAATAAAGTGTAAGTGTAAATTTCAACTCAAGATGTACATGTATATGTAGACTTCTCAGTCAACAAAAAATAACAAGGACTCCTTAACCTAATTGTTAGACATATGATACATGAGCCATCTAAAAGATAAACCGAGAATAATTCTTGCTTGGTGAATGCGAAATGAAAATATCATTACCTACGTCTAGTTTGCAAGAACGCATGCTAAGCTAGATAACTAACATGTTCTAAGTCTTCATCACTTATCAAGATATAGTACTTGTTTGGGAGAACTTTTAGAAAAGTCCATTTCTTAAATTGACTTATGCAAAATGGACTTCTCCAAACGTCCTCATCTTTTACTTCTACAGAATGGACTTTTTGGGAAAACATGAATAAGTTCGTTCTTAATTTAGTATCAATCATAAATGTTTATCCAAATGGACTTTTGCATCAAAAGTCCATTTGAGAAATGTTTTCAAACAAGCTCATAATAGTCACTTCAATTTTAGAAATATTAGAATATGTTAAGGACTGACTATACTGAACTAACTTCATAAATATATCCATATAGTATGACAAAGCGACAATTGATTTAACCTATAATAATGATGAAATGGTGATCATTAAAGAATTTCAAGATGTGTGGTAAGCATCTGATCAAGAAACACAGCATGTTGAATCTTTTATTTTATTTTGAATAATATGCCCTAAATTTATTAACTTGGTGTTGCACCTCCCAAATCAACAGTGTGACTTATGAGGTGAATAGAAATCTCAAAAGTATTTTGAATTTGGACCAAAACTCTAAAACAATTCTTACGCAACAGTTCTCGATGTGTGCTAAATCGAAGAATTTAGAATTAAATTTATTATGATATTTTAAGGCATTACGTATAGGAGAAAAAATCCAAATGTTGGAATAAGAAATTAGGGGAGAAGTTATGGGCAATAAAGGACCAGAAGATATATTTTGCAGATTTCTTGACACATTAGCATTAGTATAAAGATTTAGAATACTAGACTTAATAATTACAATGATTTTGAATCCACAATGGAAAGAATTACAAGAAAGATTGTATGAGGGGCAAATTCCACATTGGCAAGATATTATTTTAAGACTGTTTTGAGAGAAATTGCAAGAATTGAAAATCAAATATTTAGAAATAAAATATTTGGAAATGTGACATCACATGTTCACGTAATTGAACTTTAAAAGGAGGATTTGCACATGCCCATTTGTTAATAATCTCAATATAAAAATTTCAACGGCGAATAACTCATATGTTAAATGGGATATGCAAATATCTTTATAACTAAAATTCATTTCTAGTTCATGCCACTCATAAATCATACAACATAAGGTAAATGTTGGGTTTGGTGGCGCATTCAATTGCTTACATACAACATGCTCAATTTAAGGGAAAGAAATGCAGTGATCACATTAAGGTTAATCACTACCCTAAGGGTCCTCTTGCGAATAAGAAATTGAGCACCGACAAAATAATTGAAAGTAAAATCAGTTTTTATCACAAGAAGATTATGAGACAATCAAATCTTCAAACAAAATATGTGAGAAGACTGTCAAAAGCAAATAGCAAGAATAACATTCATGCATTCATCAATCTAAAAGAAGTGATCGATTACTACATTTACAATTTACGTCGGGACCGTGTTTAGCTTTTCCACTTCTCTTTACACTAGAGCCTAATTTTGCTTTCTCGTTTATATTGCATTAGGACATTATAACGTTAATAATCTTTTTACATTAGGATCGTATTATATAACTTCATATTGCTTCCTTTACGAAAATACATTTTTTATGCTGTGATTTTATATTTTAATTACCGTTCATATAATTATTTGATAAAGTATCCACTTTTTACGTTTGATGTCCACTGAGTTATTAGTATAAAAGTCGTTTAGATTTAAGTGTCACTACAATATGCTTACTAAAATAATTTTTACGACCAGACAAATAATACCACCACGTGAATCGAAAGTTTCAACTACTAGTAATTATAAATGGACGGGAAATATTGATTACCATCACTTAAAAGTAATTATAAACTGAATAGAGGAGAAGTGAGTACCTCTTTGCCAATCTTTCCGCTAATTGTTCCGCTTTTGATTGAGGCTATGAGCTCTCCCAATTCATGAGATGTAAGTTTAATTTCATTGA